ATTTAATTATTTAATTATTTTAAAATTAAAAAAATAAATATAACTTTTTTACATATTATAGGGGGGTAAAAGGGCAGGGGATAGGGGTTTAGTGGGGGGTAGAAGGTAGAGGGGGGTTAGAGGGTAGTGGGGGTAGAGGGTAGAAGTGGAGGGGTGGGGTAGAAGGGGGGTGGGGGTAGAGAGGGGTATTTTAATTAATTTTTGATAGAAAATTTTGAATTTTTAATCAATCTACTGTATAATTAATAGAGATAAAATAAGAAATTTATTATGTTAATAAATATTTTCTTAATACATATATCTATTAAAAAATGTATAAATAATTAGGGAGAGAAAGTAATTTGGATAATCCTAAAATCATATGCAGAATGAACTTTATGACCTGTTGTTATTGAAAAAACAATTAATATTAGAAACATAATACAACTGTTTAAATCTAAACTGTTTTCTGCTGTTCATTGTAACTAGGTTGTAGGGCCACCAGAAGACGTGCGTTTTTTTTTTAAATCACAACTACTCCTTTAATTTTTGGTTTTTATTTTTTGTAATATGTTTTTAATAATTTCTTTAACTGTAAACTAAAATAATAGAAATTCACTTTGTTTATAAGTAATTTTCAATGATTTGTTTTATCAAATCCTAATAGTTAAAATGATAATTAAATCGATAACGTTTTATAATTAATAAATTAATAATTCATAATTTAATATTTTAATAAATCTATAATGATTGAATATGTCTATAAACCAATAATTAATTAATTAAATTTATATATTTTAAAATCAGACCTATGGAACGATATGGAACCTTAACTGTGCGCTCTTGTTGACATAAAAAAGAAAAAGATTTATTTTTGTCCTTTATATTTTGTTTACGTTCCTATATTTTGTCCTCAATATCATCAAATTATATTTAAAAAACTATGAAACTTGACCACGTCAATTACATTTTTATTTATATATAAATAATGAAAATAGAAGAAAGATAAATGTGGAACATAAGGACAAAATGATTAAATATAACGAAGAAGGAATCTGAATCGACATTTTTTATAAAGAGAAGACTGTTAGGCTCAGAGCGAGTCATGTAAGACTTATTTTGAAATGAGCCTTACTAATGCCGACTCAATGCTTATAGAAATAAGCATATGTCTTAGGCCACTGATTTTAAAGGGCATTTAAATTTTTATCAAAAATAAATAATATGTTAATTTTTTTTATAGAAAAATTAATTATTTATGATTATGTATTTTTAAAAATTATATCATTTTATTCTTCTTAACCTCAATCATATAGAAAAAATATTCATGAAAATGTTGTCTTGTTTTCTTGCATTCTCGAAGCTAACACTCACATTATTATTTTTCAAACCTCTTTGATACTCAATAATAAGTCAAAAATATGAATCAATAGTAAAAATGTGTTGAATAAAGTGAATTGCAAATCTGTCTAGATTGACTTATTTTATGTGGTTTTAAATAAAAAAAAATTATAAGCAATTTTGCCAATTTAATACATATGAAATAATATTAATAATTTATATAATAGTTGCATTCATTAAAAGATTTTAGGCCTCTAATTGAAAATTTTTTTAGGCCTCCATTTATGTTGAGCTCCTCCAGGACAAATAATTACATTTTTATTTACATATAAATAATGAAAATAGAAGAAAGATAAATGTGGAACATAAGGACAAAACGATTAAATATATTGAAGAAGGAATCTGAATCGACATTTTTTATAAAGAGAAGACTGCTAGGCTCAGAGCGAGCCATGTAAGGCTCATTTTTAAATGAGTCTTACTAATGCCGACTCAATGCTTATAGAAATAAGCATATGTCTTAGGCCACTGATTCTAAAGGGCATTTAAATTTTTATCAAAAATAAATAATATGTTAATTTTTTATAGAAAAATTAATTATTTATGATAATGTATTTTTAAAAATTATATCATTTTATTCTTCTTAACCTCAATCATATAGAAAAAATATTCATGAAAACGTTGTCTTGTTTTCTTGCATTCTCGAAGCTAACACTCACATTATTATTTTGCAAACCTCTTTGATACTCAATAATAAGTTAGAATAACACCCTGTCAAAAATATGAATCAGTAATAAAAATATGTTGAATAAAGTGAATTGCAAGCTTGTCTAGATTGATTTATTTTATGTGCTTTAATATTAAAAAAAAATTATAAACAATTTTACCAACTTAATACATATGAAATAATATTAATAATTCATATAATAGTTGCATTCATTAAAAGAATTTAGGCCTCTATTTTTTTAGGCCTCCATTTATGTTGAGCTCCTCCTGGACCTTATAGGGCTCATTTTGACAAAGTCTTGTACGTAGAATTTAACACTAATAAATTTATCCAAATATTATCGTTTGATTTCATACTCGATTTTGTTGTTCTTTTAAAAGAAATTACTCAATTTTTTTTGACTTTTAACTCCGAACTCCAATAAAAACATTTAATATATTCATACTGCTATTTACTGTTTACAAAATTAAAAATTCTTCCATTTTCAACTATAATTTTTCTATAATCATTTACCATATTTATATTCGAAGTGTTTTCCTCAACTTGATATCCTAACAACACACACTTGCATTTCTTTTATTCTATATATTTTTAGTTACATCGACACGATATGAATGACAAATGAGCAAATGCAGAATGAATGGGAACATAAAGCTATGTGGGACAGTGCGGGTATGGGTTGTATAAAAAATTGCAAATAATATTGATTATGCAGAAATTTGAAGACACTATCTAATTTATTTTTATATCATTGTATGTTTGTAGATTCAAGTTGAAAAGTAATTTTGGTGCTTTAAATAATAATGTTGGATATTTTTTTTATTCGTAATACATGTTTGAATATTGATTTTACAGTTATAATAAAGAATTAATTAGCATATTTTTGTTTGAAAAAAAAAATAGATTTTAGTTGCAACTTTTAGTTATCCCTTAAAGTCATGTGGTTATTGCAACGTTTACTCATTGCTAAAATTTAACAAAATCTTTTGTGGTGATATTCTGAAAATTTATGGCGACTTTTGTGTCACTAAATATCTAGTTTCTTATCGTAAATTTTAGTTGGCAATATTTAGGCGGAAAATTCAATTCAACGTGACGCTATTAAAAAATTAAGTTATTAATTTTGAGAATATTCATGGACTCTTGAAATAATGAAAATTGTTATTTTTATTTTAGAATATACCTAAGGATATAAACAATTTGTTTCTCATTTGCATGTCTATGACCTAACTTTTGATCATCTTCTTAAATTGTTTTATTTATTATAATACAATAATTCAAGCATACAAGTTGCTGTTTTCCTTTAATATTTTGTTTATGTAAATATTTCTGAAAGAATCTTGAGAATTGAAAAAAGAAAAAGACAAAGACAAAGGAACAAATCCAAAATCAGATCTGTTATCTGTTATCTGTTATCTATTTTAGAAAAATGACATTTGTTGTTCAATATCTGCTAGTCTCCCCCCACCCCCTAACCCCTTGCGTTCCTTTTTTTATTTTTATTTTATTTTATCATAAGTCATATTATGTATGTTGTAGTTTCTTATAAAAGTTTTAAGTCATCCACATTAAAAAGATTCAAACAAATTAATATAAAATGAACAATATTACAAAGAGATATTTCCTTAATGTTAAGGGTTTAATTAGGTAATTCTCTTAGGTTTGAATTTTTAATATGTAAATTATTTTGAAATAATTTTTTTGAGGCAAATAACTAGCCGTGCACGATTCAAATGAAACTTCAAATCAAATGAGACAAAGGAGTACTACATGTTAAACAGAGAGAACGAGAGAATTATACGTTAGTATCTTAACTTAAAATTTAGTTTTATACTTTTATTTTATGGAAAAATTATATATAATAACAAACTAATAATCTAAAATAAATGGAGTAGCTAGGGTTTGATTTAATTGTGCTCCATAGCAAACGTTTGCAAAAAATTGCCAGACGCCTCTCTCCCAAATATCTCGATCGCCACTCTCCTCCAATCTATCGCTCGCTTCCTCACTTTTTATACAAACACAAGTGTATAAAAATTGTTTCTAATTGTATAAAGTAGAGAAAATTGTATAAATACATATATTTTGTTCCCTCTCTCCCCTCTTCCAGATTTCGCTCGCCACTCTCCCAAATCTCGTTCGCCACCCTCGCCTTTCTCACTTATACAAACAAAAGCGAAATGTATAAATTGCGTTTCTGATTGTATAAAGCGTGAGAAAATTGTATATACACATGCAAGTACATACATTTTCGTCCTATACACTTATAATTATACAATAAAAATACTCCCCTGTCCAGTTTCTTTTGCCTTTCTCTCTTTCTCGTTTTATACAATTTCAAATTGTATCTAATTTCTTTTTTTTTTCGTTTTATACAATTCGATTCAATTGTATATTCCTTGTCAAGTCTCTTTTTCTCATTTTATACAAATTTAAATTGTATATAATTGTTATATACACTGATAATAATACAATTCGTTTTATATATTTTGTTTTTATACATTTCTCTGCCAAAATGTCTTTCTCTTTCTTGTTTTATACATTTCGTTTTATACAATTTGCTTCAACTGTACATGTATAGCGAATTATACAATTTTTATGTTTGCTATAGATTGCAATTATACAAACTTTGCTATAGCATACAAATATAAATTTTTTTATTTGATAAATGTGAAAGTTAGTCTTATTTTATTTTGCCTTAAATTTTCAGTTACTTTATAATCTGTGGATGTTTACTTTTGAGCAAAAAAAAAAAAAGTGCATGTATATATGTACATGTAATCTTTTATTTTGGTCGATGGTACATTTTGGTAAGAACTTCTGGGCCTCACGGGCACCCAACTCAAATTCGGCCCGACAAAAAGAAGAAAGATAAGGGTTCAATTACCTTCAAATATCAATACATATATAAATATGTTATGTGAGTTGAAACCCTAGAATGACAACTGCAGCTAACTGGAAATGGGGAAGTGGAGAAACAACACTTGCTAAAGGAAGTTCACCAGTCATCTCTTTTCTTTTGGAGTTTTTTTAGCAAGAGTTGTTTTACCTCTTCTCAATTCCGTCTCTCTTTCACAGTATCAGTATACTTCCGACCACCGTTCAATCATCGGTTTTCGATCTGCAGAGTTTTGAGTCTTCTGTTTGCTTACTTAAGAGTTATGTGTATATTTGACGTTTGATATTTGTAGATCGAACTTCATTATTTTTTCTGTCATTTTTAGCGATCTGTTTTGATATTTTTATTAGTATTTCGTTTGTGGATCTAAATGACACAAGTCCTTCTCCCAAGCGTAGCAGGTCTGGATCTCATATCTGCTAGTAGTGATTGACTTTGAATCCCCTTTTCTGCTGCATCTTACTTTTGTATGGTTTTAATTAAGATCAGATTTTGATATATATGGACTCAAAACTAAATTAATTTGTTCTAGATAATAACATCAGACATATATAGCATCCTCGCCTTCACGTATCTGATATCTGAGACCTATGCTAATTATATTAAAAATTTTATTAGCTTTTTAAAAATAACATCATTATTGAGTTAGACCATTTTCAGGCCCTTTCTAAATTAACTAAAAAGTACTGACCCCGTAACCCTTTCAAATTCTTTTGAAATAACATCACAGAAAATTGTCCTGCTTCGTTATTGTCCAGTTGTATTAATTCATATTATGTTTTTTGTGAGCACTGATCGAGATGATTGTTATCACCTCTAGACTGAGCTTTGACACAGAAAAAGTGAGTTGATTCCACATCACATATTTGTTCTTATTTATCTGTTATTTTCTTTACATTCACAACCATAACCAACCAAATGCATGAACATGGTGAGATAGAGTGAAGATCTCAACCAAATGACATGCTCTTACAAGTATAGTAATAACTACTCTTTCGTTTTAAGAAAAAGTACAAAATAATAACTTTACTTAAGACTTAGACAGAGGAGTGGCAAAATTAGCCCATGAAAACACAGGGTGCATATAAGAATAACATATGACTTACTAATGGTGTTGAGGTAAGCCTAACTATTATTTCAACTTATTGTACAACTCATGAAAGGTTCAAAAAATGAAAAATTAAGGAGTCGAGTGCGCAAACAAATGATGGCCCAGTTATGAACAGAAAAAGGCAAATTGAATTTGAACTTTATAGATATATATAACTCGAGTTTGAAATGATTGAAAAGAAAGATTGACTAAATGGAAACTTATAGCTTAAAAGGAACCTCAATGACTTCGACTGTTGGCATGGGTTTATATCATGAGTGGAAATTAACAGTCAAGAGATAGATAGAAATTCGAATTGAGATCAACACAAACCTGCTTATTTGTAGAATTACAATAATTATGGAAAATAATATCAGTCAATGGCTTTCCCTAGTCTTATTGATTGTATTTAGCATCCATGCTTCAGATAGGATGACAAACTAGTTAGTCATTACTGATTCAAGATATGATCATGATGAAGACGTACAATGTAGTGTTTTTAAGCCTCTGCTTCAATAGCAGAAGGCGTTGTCAATGGGCTAAAACCATGTTGAAGGCTTGCTTTCCATACTTTCTGAATATCAAACATCTTGTTACCACATTCATGCTCATTCCAACCTTCCAATGCATGCAGAATCCCGGCTATTCTCCACGCGCTCATCACCCTTCTTGGTAGCCAGTTCTGGAATTATAAAAAAATTAGTCCTGAATGTCCTAAGGACTCATCTAATGTACCATACACAGATATACTCAAATGATTTCTTTCTAACCTCACAAGAGTCTACATTCTCAAGATGTTTTGGGATATTCATAGCTGGTGTGTTGAAATAGAAGCAATCCTTGCGAACTTTCCTTGGTGGAAATTGTGAGAAAGGAATGAATAATGTTCCTTTTGGTGCTTTCAGTTGTTCATCTTCACTCAATTCGTCCCCTACTAGCCATATCTGCAATATAATAATACATACACTTTTAATCAAGAAGTATTCTTTGTTCTTGTTGGGGATATATATATGCAGGGGAGGGGGTATAGTTGATACCTTTGATGCATAAGATTTTGAAGGGACCAAATTAGAAGCAACCTCAGGGTTAAGTAATGCTTTTAATCTCTTGTACTCTTCTCCATCTATCATAACCTGTATAGATAAATTTCAATGAGAAAAGAGACGGAGAAACGAAAATCATTGTGGAGATCAGTATATAGTCAAATATACCTGAGTTCCTCCTTGGCACAAGGTTAGGGCAATGGAGTAAGCAACTTTGGACAAACGGCCTCTAAGTACCACTCGGGAAGTTCCTTTAGGAATGGAGTTTAAGACTACAGCAACAGCTAAACTACTTCCATCCACCACCTTCACTTTCAACTTAGGATGCCTCCTTATGTAAAGCTCACCATTATTATTCACCTGCTTTTCCTGCTACAACATTACATTTGTGTATAATTGTGATTTGAGACATCAATGAGGCATTATTTGATTTTGTATAGTTTTACTTGCCTGATTTAGGAGTCCAAGGCTCAAAACTTTTACGCCTTTCTGATCCGCTTCCATAATTGCTTCCTCAATCAAATTGTTAATAGAATCTCTTTGCCATTGCATAAAGTACTGAACAAAATAAAAGAATTAGGCCAATTGATCTCTTTAACAATATATAACTCAGAACCAACAATAACTTCTTACTTGTATACTATATTTTGGGATAGCCCAAGTTTGTAGTTTGAGATTGCTGAACAAATTTCTCTCAACAACAAATGTGTGACCATAAATCCAAGTAATAAAGAATGACCATAGCGTGACGGGTGATATTAACCAAAAATACCACTTGGAAGTGTGAGGCTTTGAGGCCAAGGATGCAAACCCTAGTCGAAGATGGTAAATCGATTCTGGGGTTGTTAGATGTGTTAGATGCACCACATCAGGCAATTCAGCTTTCCTCTCAAGTGACTTTTCATACAGTGTATCTGAGGACTTATCCACTGTACTATACAGATAGTCATACATTGGCATAAAAAGTGAATAATTTGATCCAAATTGAGTGTGATGTAGTGAGTGGAACCTGTACCATCAAAGAATTCATATTAGTGGTAAAGAATAAAACAGATTGTTCACAAGTAAAAAAATCTTCAGGATTACTTGTCTGCCCATTCAGTCCAACAACGACAACAACATACTCAATGAAATCCCACAAAGCAGGGTCTAGAGAGGGTATATAAATAAAAATTGAAAAACAGGGTCGAAAAGACTCACGAGGGCGTATATATCAAGTACTTGAGAGGGGGAAAGATAGAGAACATCCACTTTGGAATTAGCTCAAAGTTGCAATGACCCATGAGGTTCATGAAATCGAGATAGATGGCATATGCAACCACTGAAGCTATAGAAGCCGTCCCAGTTAATACTGTTGTGACCAACGGAATAAAAAAGAGCGTATAGTATGTTACAATCTCAGCAAATGGATGAATCACAGCTGCCAGCCAAAATAAAAGAAAAAACTGTAAGCATCTGCAGATAGTTGATGGATTGTCTAAATGCTACAAAAGATTTGAAGACGAGTTACCAGTGTGAGGCTCGGTGACAATGGAGGAGTGATGATGGGAATGATAACGAGAGTATAGAAAATGATGGTGCAGAGCTCTGTGAATCCAGTAATAGAGAAATTCTACAGGACCGGTATGGAGCAAGGCAGTTATAATGATCCCATCAATCCTCCATAGAGGCAAGTGATGAGTCTCTGAGAACTTCAGGTATGCAATGTAGAACGCCACTCCATTAAATATAATTTGATCATCCCTACAAGAAAAACGATCCGACTTAAATCAATCATGTCATGTACAATTTATTTTTGCATCTTCTTTTCGTCCCTTGGTTAGGTTCTAATGCTTGCTTTCTTTATTTATACGTCTAATATCTCCTCTGTTTTGCCGATATGAGATTTGTCTAAGGGCTTACATACTCCACCCTCTTCATCATTTCACGAAGGAGATTCAAAATATAAAAAAAGTAAAACACGGAGAATTTTAAAGCTTTTTGAAAAGGGGTTGCTGGGAGTATACGTACCAGTTTGTTTCTCTGTCAACTTGATCGAATTCAATGCTTCTATCAAGAATACGATTATCACCCTTAGCGGATCTGTAGCGAGACAGGGATATCCACATTTGGTGGTGAACCATTCTCATGACTATATAGAGGAATATGAATATGTACGAAAAGTCCCTCTGGCTTTCTTCTTTGCTAATGAAGAATGAGTATATGCTATGACCCACAAATGGTGCCAAAACCAAGTACTTCATCCCAACAACAACGACAACAAAAAAGGAAATGTTAAAAGAGTTAAACAAAAGGTGTTGGATGATGAAGCTATAGTAACTTCATCATCCAACAAAAGATCGTTGCTTCGAAAAAAAATAGCTAAATGTATTAAGCTTGTCAAAATGGAAAAAAATAGTTGGAAATTCAATAAAGAGTACCTTAAAGTTGCCAAGGGATGCCCAAGGCCATTCTGTAAGGATGCCAGGTTTAGTAGCCATGAATCTTTAACTTGTGCTATCTTAAAAGACCCCTGCTTCCACTGCCTTTTGTGTGTGTGAATATATATAGAGGGAATACATTTGCAATCTTTTGCCAACCTTCTCAAACTATATTCCCTTAGGGATAGTTTGACGTGAAGGATAACGTTAAATATTTTATCACTTAATTTGTTGTTTGGCTAGCAAGTTCGAGATAACTTATTTTAGAATTTATAATTAGTATTGGGTAAGTTATCCATTCTCTTGGGTGGTATAGTAATCCGAAATAGCTTGTCCTAGGAAAATATCCCTTTAAACCCCTTTTATATCACTTTTACATTCATGAAGAGTATTTTTGTAAACAAATAAATTATTCTTCAAATTTATTATTTTATATACAATAAACTAAACACTCAATAAAAAATAATATTAGCATAACTTATTCTATCATAACTAATTTCATCATAACTTATCTCATCATGGCTAATCTCATCATAACGTATCTCATCATATGTTGAATCCAAACTAGTTAACTATGCGAGAACAAATCATCCTGTCTAACTACAAGTATCAATCACC